AAAAAAAAAAAAAAAAAAAAAAAAAAAAAAAAAAAAAAAAAAAAAAAAAAAAAAAAAAAAAAAAAAAAAAAAAAAAAAAAAAAAAAAAAAAAAAAAAAAAAAAAAAAAAAAAAAAAGGAAAAAAAAAAAGAAATGAACAATGAAAAGAACAATAAAATAAAATACACATTTAAATATTTTTTTTAAATATGAAAGGAAAGTCGCATAATATGCATTCCATTAAATACATCACATTTACTTGCATAGTGTATGAAGAAAAAAAAAACTCTATATATATCTATCATATTTTTATCTTATTTGAATTATAATTTTCTGTGGCTAGGGATGTGGGGGAGGAGGTAAAACATTTAATTGCAAATATGATTTAAAAATTTGTTTAACATAAAAATTGATTTAACATTAAAATTACTTAACTCACAGGTTCGTTAAGGTATACTAAACCATTAGGATTTTTCAAAATTATTTTAATTTACCCCCCCCCCCCCCCCAAAAAAAAAATAATTAAAAAACGACACCTCCTTCCCCATTCAATAGCCTTTGTTGACCCTAACTTACATTACATTGCGACCGATTGTAGCGCAGTTGTTTTTCTAAAGTCCTTCGCCAAAGCACCTTTTAAATTATTTTTTTCAGACGTCTTATATGCCTCGCCTGAAAGCCCAATCTCTTTAACAGCATTTTTCAGGGTGTGGGGGGAATTCTTAAGCCCTCGAAGCTGGACATTGGTGATCACATGGTGGTGCTCACTGTCTCTAGACAACAGCTGGAGATTGGTGATCACATGCTGGTGCTCACTGTCTCTAGACAACAGCTGGAGATTAGTGATCACACGGCGGTGCTCACTGTCTCTAGACAACGGCTGGATATTGGTGATCACATGCTGGTGCTCACTGTCTCTAGACAACGGCTGGAGATTGGTGATCACATGGCGGTGCTCACTGTCTCTAGACAACGGCTGGATATTGGTGATCACATGCTGGTGCTCACTGTCTCTAGACAACGGCTGGATATTGGTGATCACATGGCGGTGCTCACTGTCTCTAGACAACGGCTGGATATTGTTGAACACCCCAGCTACCGATCACGCGGTTCTCCTCACTGTCTTTAGACAACAGCTTTACGGTACCACGTGACTTTGAGACGTGAGCAGGGTGACTTTGAGGTCAGTCGCAATGTAATGTAGGGTATATGGAAGTAGAGATTTATTTTAAAATTTCCTAGATAGAATCAGTTATATTTAGATGAGCACCAAAAGATAACAAAAACTACTTTAACTTGCCAACTTTTAAAAAGAATGACTTAATATCAAATTAATTTTGTTCCCATTACTGATTGCTCTAGCAGGGTTTCTAACAAAAAAAAAAACAAACAAAAAAAAAAAAGAATTAATCGTCATACACCAACCATCAAAATGCAATGTAGATCAAACTTTAACATAAGCATGTACGTTTGTGAACGTGTAATAATTATGTGTATGGTTATAATATTTATGTATATGATGAATGCTTGCTAGCTATTTAAGTTATGATATGTACGACAACATGTAAAGCAAACTCAAAATATTAAGGATTAATTTTTGGAAAGTAATCTGAAGGATCCAATTTTTTTTCCATATTTAATTAGTGCTACTAATCAATGTAGATACCCTAAATCACACCATGTTGAAAATTGTTTGTGATTTTTTTTTTGGAGGGTAACACTTTGAAGTACAGTTGAATATCCCAATGAATATGTTGTTTTAAAGCGTATGCGAGGTATATATTTTAATGTAACAAAAATAACAGAACAGCTAACAAACGACTGCCGTGATGATGTCCACAGTTCTGTTACACAATTTGTTGATGGCTTACATTTAAACGTCTGTTTTAGTCACTGGATTGATCTTTTGGTAAAGAAGGCACCAAAATGTTTAAACGAAATTGCAAGCGTAGATTTATAATGCAAACATTTACAGCAAAACACTGATTTAATTTCCATGCGAAACCGTTACATGAACAATTCACGCAACGTCACCATAGCAACGGTCTCTTGCAATGATGCTGGAATTTTTTTTCTTTTTCATTAGCTTGAAATTCGGTGACGATTTTTTTTTCTTTTGGTCAGTTAGTTGGTCGCTTCAATACGAAGTGGGTCAGTGGGATGAGCTCTCGCCTCGGCTTCCTGTAAAGGTCGCCATATTATGACATGCCCATATATGGAGATGTCTAAAACATGAGTATTTCTTCATACAATACACATACAATATTTAAAAAAATTTGTTTAGGTCATCTTGATATATAAATATAATTAGAACCTGAGGAGAAAATCTATAGTTACACATACAAGAAATCGAAACATATTTTGGTTAGAGGCTACAATAAGTTGCATTATTTTATAATATAATTTATAAGTTCTAATCAGCAAAATACACTTTATTTGAAATCAAGCTTCATAAAAAAAAATTGACAATTTAAAAAAAAAAAAAAATTTAAATTGTAAAAATTTACATTTATCCTTGAAAATAATTAAAATAATGGAATGTCCTTTAAAAAACAACAGCAACTTAAGACCATTTATTAAATCCCCAAAAATGACATAAGCCAAATTGTAAATTGATGGTGTTGCGAATTCCATTATTTTGATACAGTAATATGAGAACCGTCGCATGGGTCATGTAACTCATCCCCCCCCCCCCCCCCCCCCCCCCCCAACTGCTTCATGGGTTCTTAGGTATTTAAGTAGGCCAAATTTGTGATGTGGGAAATGTTAACTGTCAACATTGAATACAGGGGGTTAAAACCCTAAAGTGGCGGGGGAGGGGGGCTCAAAGAGTCACGTGACGGTTCTGTAATTGTGATACCAAGCTTAACATATTATTTCATTCTCTATGCTCTAGATTTAAAGTACTGGAAAATATCTATTAGTGCTAGCAATATACAATATAAACATGTTAAAATTTTATTTAAACCCGTTGAATATTTTATATTTTCACAGTTTTATCAGTTAAAATTTGTTATATATATATATATATATATATATATATATGTGTAAATATATTTAAAAATTGTATGTTATGTTTAGTCAACTAAACAAAGGTATTCCAAAACATTAAATTTAAATATTGTATTTATTTTTCACATTTACGAGTTGAAAAAAAATGTCTTACCTTCCATTAGGGCCTTAATCAAATAACCAGTAATTAACATATTACACGAGTAATAGGCCTACATTACAATGATCCTAACACTCCCTTCTTAAACATGGCGTTACTAATCCAGACCAACACATTACTAATTGTCAGCTCATTTGTACAGAGTACTACACACTGTTAGTGGTGCCATTAGAGAGCTCGGGTACTAAATTTTAAAAATAAAAATAAATTCCTTAAATTTTTTTTTTTTTAAATGAGATCTTGAAGTGAATATAAAACAGACGTCGGTGTAAGGCTACATCAATGCTTAGCACGACATAATGTAGCACTCTAGTTTTATGTGTGTGATTTTCTTTCTTTTTGTTTCATTCTGAAAGTTAAACAAGGATTTTTAAATATCGCTGCGGTCAACTGTGGTAGTATTTGTATTTTCTTGGGTAACTAAGGTTTTCCCAACATGGAATGTTCGCACCCAACGGGGGATTTGCGGAACTCGGTTAAAAGAACAGATGAGTCAGAGACTTCTAGAGTTCTCTTTGTAATTTAATTTTTTTTTTTTTTAAATTGATTGTGTTCTTTATTTAAATATTAAAATGCTTTATTTCTTTGGCAGGGGTTCCATAAATTTAATTGAACCGTTTGTAATTTGTATAGGGCGCCAGACTAGCCTAACAATTTAGGGAAACATTTTATAAAAACTAGTAAAAAAAAATTTCTTAGGATGAAGAAAATCGAATTAGAAATCTTTTTTTTTTAAAACACGCTTCTCCAGAGAATTTCAAAAATACGCAAAGGAAATGTTATTAACATTAAAATTTTGGCCATGTTAATTAAAAATAGCTCGTTCCAATATTTTTTTTTAATGGAATATTTTCTGAAGTTCTTTTTTTTTTTTTTTAATGAACAATGACAACATTTTTTATACCCGGTAGCTAGAAAATGTCGTAAATTGTGATTTGTTTCATACCATGATAAAAAATTTTTTTTAAAATTTAATTATAAATTTTGGCCATGTTAATTAAAAATAGCTCGTTCCAATATTTTTTTTTAATGGAATATTTTCTGAAGTTCTTTTTTTTTTTTTTTTTAATGAACAATGACAACATTTTGTATACCCGGTAGCTAGAAAATGTCGTAAATTGTGATTTGTTTCATACCATGATAAAAAATTTTTTTTAAAATTTAATTACAATTATACCGCCTCTAAAGGTCAGCAGAAATTGTCCAAAGCCTTTATCGTCATGACTGTAAGTGTTACATGATTACTGACAATGTTGTTAGCCAAGCAAATGCTATCAACAGAAATCACGAATATTCTTAGATCTATTGAACACATTTAGGGAAATATATAGTTGATAATGAATTTTCTATTTATGGAAATTTTAAGATTTAATTCAGTTTGTTTGTATTTTTCTGGGCTGTTAATTATTATTTTAATTTCAATTCCTAACCTTTTGTAGGACGAATCCATATTTTAAAAATAAATTCTCACATGTTCTTCAACAAAAATGTTTCTTTTCTTGTTTGCGTTTTTCAAGTAGAAGAATATGTTTAGACTAGTCTTTGTTCTGTTACATTGTAAGGGTATTGTCTGATTTGAGGGGGCGGCTTGGAAGTTAACGTGATCGCTCTTGTGATTACCTTTTTTTTTTTTTTTTTTTATTAGCGATTGACAACTTTGTCATCTCATTGCCTAACATCAACTTACAGAATTAGAATATGGGGGGGGGGGAGGGGGTAGCAGAAAGAGTAAGGACGGGGGAAAAAAACAACAACCCAAGTCAACCAAGTGTATGCTGTTTTCTAAGATTGGTTCAATCAAATGGAGTAGAGTCTGTCGTCTGTGGATGATAGAAAGGATGAATAGAGCAAGTAAACGCTCATCTGATTATGCCATCGATAATGCGTCAAAAATTGTGAATTTTAAAAAAAAAAGTAGAAGAAGAAAAAAAGATGCAAGTCGAGCTCAAAGTGAAGGATTTGGATATTTAAAACAAAAAACAAATTCTTTTTTGTAGGGTTTGGTTGGGGGAGGGGGGGGAGGGAAGTACGTCACAGAAGTGTGACCGTTATGTTTCAATTCCTAGGCATGTGTACAAAGATCGAAGATGCCGCCCAAGGGGTATCAACCTCTTTCCTTTTACATCGACTTTGAAACAGCGTACTTTTGCGCTCCTTCCCGGCCCTCCACGTACGTTCCATTGTTAAGAGCGAGTCAGTTATTCGACATGGCGAAATAAAGGGGATAACAAATATTATCCTGAAGTTGACCTATCAAAGGATTGGAATTATATAACAATACTTGTTGAATTGAATTATATTTAATTATTTCTTGACCTTTTAACAAAATATTGATTGTAATTTTACAATTTTTTGTTGTCGAGAAAGTCAAAATAGAACACGCCAATGAAAATAATATAACATTTATATATTCTAAAAGAATAATTTTAGTCATAATTTACATACAATTTCAGTTAACAAAAAATAATAAGTATTCTTTTTAAAAAAAGCAATGTAAACGCATAACGTTATTTCCCTTTAAATCATTCGTTTGAAATAATTACAGTCGAACCCCCTTATCTGGACCTCGGTTAACTCGCCAAACCTGTTATGTCGACGTTTTTGAAGTGGAACCGCCAAATTCTCTCTCTCTGTCTTAGCATTTTCTCCTCGGTTATGTCGATTATGTTATGTCACTGAGCCCTGATATCTCGAGGACAAAAGGCGGCCAAATTTGTCACTTAACCTCGGTAATCTCGATCCCCATGACCAATCGCCCGCTTTTGAACTCCGCAAGAAGAAATAGTAAACAACAAATAAACAAGTTTTTCATAATTAAACATAATTATTTATTTCTCAAAATACAGGACTTGTGTTTTAGAATGAACCTAGAAGTAATTTAAATAAATCTGTTTGAATTCAGGGTTGTAGAACCCGGTAGAGACCATGTTATAAATGATCATAATTTGCCGTGTGCAAAACGTGGTCACGGGCAGCCATTCACGGTCACTTGCACAATGGCTATGCTGTGGTACAACGCCAGAGTTTCATTCATAAGAGTTTGCCGTGTGTAAAAAGCTATTAAACCATTGGTCAGGGAAAGCTTTAATTAAAAAAGTCATGTGCCAAAGTTGAAAGTTCAAAATAAGTTGTCCCGGAATAGTATTTTAGTAATGAGGGGATACTTATACTTATATAAACTTTATAGTCAATTCGCACTCCGAAATTAGCAGATTGCGGTCACAAAATGTGGAGGTTTCGTCCTAAGTAGAAAATACCAAATGAACTCGTACTTTCAAAATTCGTAGCTCAAAAAGTATAAAGCTAAAAGTTGATTCTCGTTTATTTTTTATTTTATTTTGAATTTTGCTCTAAATAACTGTAATATGTTTGAATTATTATTTATTTTTAGTGAAGAACCTAAATTTATGAACCCACATCATGTACATTTAAAGAAATTTCAAGCACATGTTAATATATTGCCGCCATATTGGTTTTCGTTTATCTCGATCATCGGTTATCTCGACGATTTCTGGCAAACCCTGAGGCAGGCGACATAACCGGGTTCGACAGTAATTATAAATAATTTATTCATATATTATATATTTTTTTTTAATACAAATAATTTTATATAATCTGTGCATCACCGACTATGCCGGATCAACCACGGTGAACTATCACCAGGCCTGCTCTTATTCTCTTAAAGACCAGGCCACCTTATCCGATTGAGTAGCTACGCCATGCACTGTCGAATGTTTATCACATTAGATTTAGCTGTAGGAGTTTGTTTTCTTTCTTTTTTGTTTTGTTGTGGTTATCATTCAAGGAAATAAATGATTAGCCCATTGGCATTAGCTTATAAATATATTCATTGATCCTGAATTTATCAGGCCTTCTAAAATTTCTTCCGGCCTTGTTCCCTGTAATTCAGGGCCGGATTTCCTTATAGGCTTAAGCCAACATAGCTGTAGATTAAAAATCACCCACAGACAGACCCAGTGTCGGCAACAATCCTTCGATTAGACTTTTCCTCGTCAAGACGAAGGATGAATCTAAAAAAAAAAAAAATTATTAAAGTTATATCTTAACACTTTTCCCACGTGAAAAGGGGGGAAACAAAAATGTCAGTGCAGGAAATTAACAGGGTTCTTTCCCTTTGCTTAAAGAAATAACACCATTAACTACGCTAAAATCATTAACATATTATTTCAAATATGCGTAACATATACATATTATATCATGTAAATTTATTGAATAATTTAATATGAATGTTCTTTCATTGCTGTCCTGGTGATAGCATTTGCCGAAACATTGTACCTTGTATAAATATAAATAAAGCTTAACATAATATACTGTTACAAAAATGTTTTGATGTTACATAATCTGTTTAAAATCTTCATAGCAGTCCAACCTTTAAATCTACTTAATTATAAAAGTAGATTTATACAACATTTTAGACATAATAAGTCAATAGACATTCTATTTACTCAGTGAAAGAAGGTGTTAAATAAAGAGGAAATAACAAAATATGTTAAATAAAAGTTGTTAAAAAAAAGAATTTCAATCAAATACAGTCGAAACGCACTAAAAGTAGAAAATAATTAAAATTTCTTGAATTGCATTACGCAAAGAAAGATTGCAGTAGTGTAGATGAGCACTCGGTGTGGCAAAAGGATTCGAAATGAATGTAGAAAAAGTTAAATATCTATCTGTCTATAGATAAAGATGTCGACAGACAGACAGGGAGAATGCATTTTTAATTATTTTTTTTCTAAACTTCTTTTTGACAAATCCTATTTTGAAAAAGACCAAGTTGACAGGAAATAGGGAAGTCCCGAAGCGCGCTCAACAGGAAACACCGAGAGTGAAAGGAAGTCCTGCAGGAAAGTTTACAAAATATTTTATTGAAAACTATTTCAAACCGAACGTTTTGTCGCCCAGAAAACATCTATTTATATTTAACTTTTTCAAAGTGCTACTAATCATGGTAAGTCTGATAAGATTTAGAGTACTACTAATCATGGTAAGTCTGATTACCTCCTTTAACTTTAGTTTAGTCTTAATAATAATTTTAAATGTGAGATTGATTCATTGAATCGTGAGATTAAATCGTTGTGTTTTGTCACAAACAAAGTAAAGCACAAGCCGGAGGAGACGTCAACTCTAAAATGCCTGGTCGTCACTAGAATGGACAATGGTTTGAGTTGATGTCATCAGTAATCCCTTGCCTTATAACTTATTATATTCTTATTTTAATGGCGATTAATTATATATATTTCGGTAAATATATTTAGGCTAGGTAAATTTGGAGAGAAGTCGCCACATGGCCACCATCTTGGTTGACACGACCAGGTAATTCTGTCACTAAACCTGAAATAAATGTATCCCTAAACCTAATGCCAATGACTAATGAGTAATCTGAACCCTAAATCATAAATGTATCCCTAAACCTAACCTGAAAGCCTAAATATAGGTACTTCGATGAAACAAGGGAGACTACTACTTTTTTTTGTATCGGAAATGGGCTTCGGCGCCAAAAAAGACCCGTTTTTAATTTTCTGATGTGTGTCTATTTATTATTAAATGAGTACTTTTGACATATATTTGAGTTCCGTTTCCGGCCTTATATTATGGTAGAAATCTTGGCCTACATTTCCATCCAGCTATTTTGCTTTTTCAATCGACCTTTACTTTGAAAATCTTTGGTATATATAAGGCATCTTTGCATACAAAATTTTTTGTGAAATAAAAAGAAAAGATCTTTCATATTAAATTGTGAAAAGCATTAGATATTGAAGTATAGGTGTGCCATTTCTCATTGATGTAGGTTGTGTCCGACGTTTTCTATGCTTATCCCCGTGACCCACATCAGCATAAGGTCATTTTGACATGGCGTGGGCCACGTCCCCTTTTTAATGGCGGAAGTTGCCGATACTTAGGAAATATTTAATTATTACCACTATTTACATCAATATATTTGATAAGTTGTGTTTTAGAGTGCACTTTAAAGACATTTAACCTGGGATGTTTTAATTTGAGCTTTAAAAACCCTGTAGAGTCCATATTATAAATGATCAGAATTTTCCGTGTGCAACAAATTGTCATTGGCAACCATTCACAGCCTCTTGCATAACGGCTATATCGTAGTACTACCTCAGAATTTCATTCATAAGAGTTTGCCGTGTGCAAAAACTATTAAACCATTGGTCAGGGAAAGCTTTAATCCCTTATTTTTTTAATTCATTATTCATGTGCCAAAGTTGAAAATTTAAAATAAGTTTTTAAAAACAGTTTTTATGTGATAAGGGGATGTGTTGCCTTATATAAACTATATAGTGATTGCGCATGACACGATCAGCGGAATGAGGTAACAGAATGTGGAGATGCAGTCCATGTTAAAAAAGGACAAACCCAGTCATACTTTAAAAATTCATAACTTTAAAACTACAATGCTTTTGGTGTTATAATTCTGTGTAAAAAAAATCGCTCTTTTCAACTAAGCCATTGGTTTATTTTTACAAAATGTTAAATTTTTGACAAAAGTACCTACTAAATGTATCCCTCAACCTAACCTGAACCCTAATTTACTGCAACTATAATAAACACACATATAACGTCATGGCAACATCTCTCCAAATTAGTCATTATTTCTATCTAGTTCTAGTGAAATAAATTAAAAACTTCCTATTTACTTCAATTCATGGACCTATTTTAAAACACTTCAGTGCTGAGTGGTTAGTATAACATTAATAACTTGTATTTATTTTTTTTATTGTTTTCCAATTTAATTTTAGTTTCTCATGTCTTTCCTGTGGTTTTAAATTTTAAAGTAAGGGAAATTTTAATATATAACATCTATGAGTTTTTTAATGTATTAATGCCAGTGGTCTATTTAGCAGATGTATGGCCAGATTTTGGTAAATTTTGGGTTAACGGTAGGGGTTTTGCCAAGAGTTGTCTCACCCTAAGTGCAGTGACGTCACTTTGGGGAAATCCAAACACTGGACTTAAGATGAATAGACCGATTGTAGGACCTGAATGTTGTGTGTGATAACTTTCCTACTGACTACTGCTTAAATTTTATTGAAAATGGATATATTTGTATAGATATGTATTGTAATATACCCGCTATATATTTAGATATAGATATATATATCTATATGACCTATAGACTATAGGCCTAGAATAGTATATAGTACTACAAGTATAGGCCTAGCCCCCACTCCAAATTATTATTTGTAGGATCTATTTTATGCAATGATATTTTAATGAATATTATTATTATGATTCTTAAACTTAAGGCATACAAACTAAATTAAACTTTAAAAAAATACTCACTCACCTTTGAAATTGAAATATCCTATATTTAATCACATATCACAATATTTCACAAGATAATTAATATATGATCCTCAGTATTCTCAAAGTAAAAACACACTTTCTTTCACAATAATCCAAGAATTACTGAAGTTATTAATAAAGAACAATAATTAAAATCACTTATACATACGTCAAGTAAATGACTAGAACTTATTTTAATTTCTATCAACCGCCAAAGCTGATACTAATGACACATGTTGATTTTTAAAAAAAGATCACTAACTTAGAATAAATGCCATACAATTTTTTTTTGTCATATTCATGTAGGACTATATATATATATATATAATATATACATTTTTAGAAAATGGTAAAATAAAGGGTATAAGCATGAATTTTAACTCAATGAATCAATTGATATGTGTATTATTTATTTATACTTATAAATGTTAAACAGTTTCACAGAAAAGTTAAAACTATTATCTAATGAATATTGTTGTTATTATTGGGAAATTTTAAAAAAAAATAATTAAATACAAATAGGTTACTAGTCAGGACACATAATAATAACTAGTAGTAAATAGTAAAACTCAAATCTTAACCATATTCTCCATTAATACTATGTTTTTATCTCATTTTATACTAAAGTTATACGCTTTTAAACAAAAAAGCAAAATGAGGCTTATGAAATGTCGAGGAAAACTGTATAGTAAAAAAAGTGTTATTCCATGCGGATAAATGGTTTATTACCGTTAGATCAACATTATTCCCAGCTGACAATGAATAATCACTTCGTTTAAATAATTATTATAAACATAAGATCTTATTTTTTCCTAAATTCAATAAAGTGGAGTAATCATGTTAAAGACACAAAGCACAAATTTAGTGTGGTATTTTGAAAATTAATATTAAAAAGCAAGCAATTATTTGTATTTATAAAATATGAAGGAAAAAAAAAGAAAGACGTTATCAGTGATTTCCACACTGATAAAATTAAGGAGCAATGCTAACACGAAAATTGAAAAACTGCATAAATTTATCCTTATCTTTGGTTCATATTGTTTGCAGTCATTTGAACCCTTAATTTTAACTTAGACTGAATAAGTAGGCTACAACAAAAGGATCTAAATTATAGGCTTAAGTTTTTCTATTCATTTGAAAGATGTGTCAATAATTATAATTCACCTGTGGAACATTTAAATAATTTGGAATTTTTAAGTGTTGTGTTAGTATTAGTAATTTTATTTGAGGACACTGTCAAACTCCGATATATATTTGATTGGTTTAATTCACCAGATTCCTCACACGTTCATAAGCCATTATACACTGAATTTAACATAAGTAAAGTGGTGGAAAAGCATTGATTAACAAATAAATCTCTTAAAAACACACAGCTCACAATAAAACACAATATACATGGGCAACAATTATAAGTGAACTTCCATACTCGATAGACACCTTTGGAAATTAATTTATTATAGTTATTAGTAATTTAAGTACAGTAATTATTTGGTAGAAAAAGTCTAGTTGCTTAATATTTTGCCAAATATTAAATTTTAATAGTTACTTAATTTTTTGCAATATCAAAGATGATTTGTTGGTTTTCTTTAATTACATAAAAAAAAATAATATTAGCTTAATAAAGGTCACTTACATTACTATTTTATAATATATATTATAATATTTTTGATAGGCCTATCTAAGTCAAAGATAAGTGGTCATCCATCCCGTGTCCATGAAAAAAGAACACAACAAAACAACGAACGTGTTGATAAGAAGAAGCCTTCTTCAGCGAACAAACACAGCAAAAACAATATAAAAATTTAAAAAACACTTAGCTGCAATGTTGTATCCGAGAGGACAGCAAGAGGAAGGTGACCTGCATTTCAGTTGAGTTTTTCTAAATTTTTATATATGTGCGACTCATTTTTTGCTCGCCGAAGAAGGGGTCTTGCTGACACATAAGTTTTATTTTTTTAAAAGATTCATGTTATCATGGTTTAACAAATTTCCTTGAAGCTCCAACAAAGATATGTCCAGATGCAAGAACAAAGATGTGTCAAGATACAACCACAAAGACATGTCCAGATTCAAGACCAAAAACAAAGGGAAATAAGGAAAATTATTTTTCACAAGTTGTAGATGAAGTTAACAAAAATAATGTGGTTCAACGTACTAATGATTCTAAAACTAATAAGGAAATAGTCGAAGCTACACAAGCATCACAAAGCGACTTAAATGGAGTCAAAGAACTTGATGAGAGTGAAGCACTAAGGTAAGTTTCTTTTCACTTTAAATTTCTTACACCAAATCCATTATTTTATTTTTAAAGTAAACATGCTTAAATTTTATTATTAGAATATATCAGTGTTTCAAAAGCAAGACAAAGTTCATGAACTTGAATGGCAGTCCAATGTCTCTTGTTACTTACTTGAGTAGTAGGTAGTCTTTTAACTACTTTTATTCTACTTGACATAAAACTTGATTTTCTGTATTCAAAATAAAAATTCTCCAGCTTCTGTTTATCATAATGATCTGAAAATGGGTACACAACTTATTCTTGCAGTACAAGTTAATCTTTAAATTATGAAATCCTCATTCACTTCTTTTTTTTCCAAAATATGTTTGTAAATATTTAGTTCAATGGAGAGTGAATTTTAAAAAATAATCCTAACATATTTTTGTGTAATGTTATGTTCTACAATGCCTTGATTTCTCTATTTCTTTGTTACAGTTTTGAACGTAATACTGTTCAGAATTTCCAAATACAGCAGAAGGCGATTGAAGAAGCAAACAAACACAAGCGAGCTCTTTTGTCAAAAGCAATAGAAGATAGGTGAGATTTTAATGCTAGCAATATGTGGTAGAGTGTAATCATACATAAAAGATTATGACATTCACTTCATCAACTTTTCTCACTTCTATTTAGTCACTTATAGGACCTTTTACCAGTGGTCCAGTCTTGCTGGAAGAGTTTCTGTACTTTTTTTATTTTTGCTAAGTAATGAATGCATATTTATTTTTGGGAGGGGGGATCTTGGGTGCGTTCCCTCACTTTTATTTCCCCGGGACTCAACCCCTGCTTTCCATGCAGAAACTATAAGCTTTTAGGGTCTAGTTTGAAGTGTATCTTTAAGCTGAGCATTGCGTAAAGTTTTTAGATCAATTTAAAGATACCAGTAACACTTATTTTCCAGGAGAAAACAAGCTAAATGCTGAGGCAGAGAAGTTGATGAAAGTTCAACAAGGGCTGAACCATTAAGACAGTCTGCTTACAGCCGATGTCAGCATAATCAGAGATAAGATTGAAATAGCCAGCTTAGAGTACAATGATGCTCAGTGAGTTTTTTCATCCTCGTATTCATGGTGCACTGAAGATTGTCAATGCACATTTACTCATCAATTTAAATCAAGTTGCTTGAGCTCACATTACCATAACATTTTATTTGTAAAATATTTTGTGAAATATTTTCGTCCATTTATTTTAACTCATTCCCCCCTGCAATGCTACTTCCGTATTTAATTTATTTGCCTGAGAAAGGGAAGTAACCCCGTTTTGAAATTGTTTACATTTTTTAAATATTTATTTAAGCTACTAAATATTATTTAATTTTAATGAATTAAGAACAAATGCAACAAAAAATGAATAAGGTTTAATATAAATATAACATTAGCGGGGAAAAAATAAAGAACAATGACCAAAAAATTGATTTTCGGCACCTCGGACAAACACATGCTACATATAGACGCGCCATACTAAAGCACACGTAGTTTTAAAGCGAAACAAGATAAAAACTTCCGGTTTTTAAATTAAAATCACGCTGAACCACGCCATCGCCGGATGTCTCGAGGGATGCGAGATTTCATTGCTATTTTTAAATAGATATGAGAGAGGTGTGTCGCTATGCGCCGCGACGCATTTGGACGCATTCGGCGGAACCCGTAAAAGACACATTTAGTCGCAAACGTCGGGAATGAGTTAAATTTCTCAGCTTTTTTAAGTATATTTTCATTGGTTTGTTAATATTTCAGATTCATTTTCTTGGTTTGTTTCATTATTTTAATCTTGTGTCAATGTTTAATATTTTACTTTTGCGCAATTTTTTTGGTTTGCCACCAGACAAGCTAAAAATAAAAAGTTGTTTTTGATTCTCTTTCTAGGAAATAAATGTCACCTACCTACATCTATTCATCTGATCTTATCCATTTTCAGAAAATGCCACTTATATTTGTATGGTGCCCAATTGCTTTTATTGTTTTTGAATTGTTGAACTTAAATGGCAGTCCAATGTCTCTAGTTACTTTAGTAGCTGTTAGTCTTTTAACACAATAAATCCTTTTATTGTACTTGACAGAAAACGCTATGAGAGAGCAGAAAAAGAATTTGTTGCTGCCAAATTTGACTTGTTTTCTAAATGGGAAGTGAAAGAGCAACTGACACAGCATCTATACACCATCATACACCAGAATGAGGTGAGAAAAGCCAAGAAACTGGTCGAACTGATGGAGAAGCTAGCAATGGATGTCACGCCTGAAGAAATGGAATTGACCATACCAGCCATCCCACAGCTGACAAACTTTACAGCAGTGGCAACCCTTCATGACCCGCATCCTGCCAAGGGTGATGACAAAGGGGGTAATGAAGGTAATGGTGGAGCTCAGAAATTAAGCAGAGCAGACGGATTGGACGATGCAAATATCTCTAAGCAGGAAGTTAACAGTATGCTATTCAATGCTGTCTCAAAAGAAGTTGAAAGTGTAAGTGATTTACCACCTGCAGCTCCAGTATCTGATAAGGATAATGTTGACACTCAGGCGAATCAGGATGGCTGTGATCAGGTGCCAGCACCAACTATAGAGCATTCAGATGCAAAAACTTCTAGTTTAATTTCAAATGATGGTGCGCCTGATGTCAATAAATAACATTTCACCCATCACATCAGGAGAAATATAGTTGAGCTTTCAAAACAACAAGAAATTGTGCTGGCACTTGGCCAGGAAAATGATGTTATATGTAGAGATATAACTAGCCAGAATTCATTAGCATCTTCACCTTTAATTTCAGGACGTGGATGGACACATCCTTTCACATAATATGGCTTCCAACATGTCTGATAAATGTGTTTTTATGGCTAATGCCAAACAGTTTTATGTTTTGTAATATATTGTATTTATTTCCATTTTGTATTTCTGTTAAGTGCTATGAAACAAAAAATATATTGGTCTGAACAGGCTGGTCATTAATAGAAATCATTATTTACTAAACTTGCCACACTAATGCTTTAAGGACCAATGTTTGCAGTACTGGTTGAAAACATTATCATTTTTATATAAGGTCACTCTATACCCTTCACCATGATTGTAGCAATTAGCAGCACACACAAATGGAATAATCTCACCTAAGCATGGAGCTGTTGTGATGTTTTGTAAACAGTTGGTTCAGTTCCCCTTTATACTTCATTGTATACTTTGTAATTAAAGCACATGTTTTTGGGATTGTTTGATATAAATTTGCAATAAATACCTTCATACAGGCTGCAGAATCTTAAACTTATTTTATATATGCCAGAAATAACCTGCCAAAAAATTATTAAAAAATTTACTGACTTTACTTGATAAAAAACATGTCAGTTAAATAATGCACTTTATAAGAATGTCAATTAATGCTAAATTCTGGTAATTATTATTTTACATTTATTTCTAACTTATAACAACAAAACTTACATTTTAAAGAATTTATTTATTTACATATAGACCTATGCATATTTATTTTGCCAGATTTAAATTGATTTGATTTAGTTTGATTTACGTTCTTTAAAAATCTCACCATCAGTGTTTTTAAGAATCTCATTTAGAAATAGTATTTGTATCTTGCACAGCTGTTGATAAAAAATGTACACACTATTTAGTGCACTTTTGGGGGAATTTATTTTTTGTGTGCTCTTGAACAGACATATAATATAGATCCCTGAGAATTATTTGTGATTTACTTGGTCTTTAAAAATCTGAACTTTTTTAATTTTTATATGAAAATTATTATAAAATTTAACATTTTAAAGTATTTTTATTTTATACAGTAATACTAATAATTTTTCAATACAACCTTGTTACTTAATGAATGTTTAAAATTTTCAATTCCGATATTTTGCCATTATATGCCTTATATTTGAGATGGTTTGTTGGGATGTTTTTAGTACTTTAGAGGTGAATCATTTAATATAAATAGGTTCTTTTCATGAGCAGTTTGGCTTTGATAATTTATTTATAAAACTTTGACTTGCCGTTGGATGACAAATTAGCATGATTTTCTTATTAAATTTTTTAAAATCCACAAGTCCTGTGCTTATTTTTTTTAGGATTATAACCTTGTTCACTATACAGCAAATCACCACTCTCCACGCCGTCGGATAACCCAAGGGAACATCATTTGTTGATGAGAGTTTGGCACTAGTGGCATTGCAGGAGATGTCAGAATGATTCATTGTGCCAATTATATCTGCCTGTAAGACTCCATCTCCGGGTTTGAGTTCAGAGTTTCCTTCTCTTAGATGAGTTCCATCGAAGGTTAACGCGTCCTATCAACCCGGGGATTGAGCTCCAAATCACAAACTTGAGATTGACTCAGTTCAGACCACTCGGCTGACAAGCACCCAAAATTAACAGCCCTAATAAATAATATTAAAGCATCTAGTCTAGTGAGATTTCAATATCTTCATTAATGATTGATTTTTCAAACACACAGTATGTTAATATGAAAGAAATACAATTTGAACTTCATATGAAGTTTTGTAGGGAAAGATGCATTATAGTTACCCATGAATTTCTAATATTGGGGTCGATTGAAAAGGCAAAAATTTATGATGGAAATGTAGGTCAAGATGTCCAATAGTGTTTATGTATGGATGAATACCACAATTCTATGACAAAATAGTCCTTTCATCAATGAAAAAGCACCGACCTTCAAAAATTAAAAATTTGGATTCTTCTGCGCCGATTCCCATTTCCCATTCAAATTTAGAAGTAGTCTCCCTTGCCTTACCAAAGTGCTAAGTATAATGCATACCCACTTGAGTCTAAAACTAAAAGTACTCATATATCTAGTCAAACTCAAGGTGTTAGTAACAACATTACTCGTAAAATTCAATACTGAAAACTGACTAGGCTTATAACTTACAATTATGTTTCATAACTTACAATTACAATGCCTATATTACTCTTTTAAATTTAATAATTAATTAAGGGCTAATGTGCTGTAGAGAGTTAGAGAGTACTAACTGACTTATACACTTTTATAATGCTACTGTATGTAACCTAATTACTAGATTAGGGCAAGGACCCACTTTGGTCATGTAGACAAATAATGAGAAAAATGTTTCATAAATTGTGCCTATACTATAAATACTATAATAAAAATGGCATTAAAAAATATTGTGACTTCTCAGGTCCCTAGGTGTTGTAAAAAAAAAAAAATACTAGTCTAATATTTAATCTGATTACCGTATAATAATTATTATAAAACTTTAAATGTCATGAGTTTGACTCACAGAGTAAGCATTTGCTTTCATTTCAAATTTTCCAGACTATTTTTATGACCATTAAGGGCCATCCATAAATAATGTCACGACTCTTAGGTGGGGGGTCACATTTTCATGATGATAGTTGGCGGGGTTAAGCAATATGTCGCCACATTAATAGCAGAGCATTCTTGACAAAAAATTGCCCTTAATAACACTAAATTACAGACATTTAACATTATTGTTTTATACAACAAATATAATTTTTTTTTTTTAAACAATAATTGAGAGAATTAGTTAAGAATCACTGTTCCTGGGAAATGTTTCTGACACAGGTGCAATAATTTGATATCCACTGGGGCGGCGGGAGGGGGATTTTTTTTAAAGGGTTTGTAAAGGGCAGTAATGGACAGAGGGATTTAATAGCTGGGGGGTGGGAGTGTTTTTTTTACATATTTGTGGGTGGTCTAACTTTTTGTAATGATTGAAAGGGGGGGGGGGTAGAAAAATCAGCAAAATTTGTTTGGTGCGATTTATGGATAACCAATTATCACAATTAAAATGTGTAAACCTTTCTTGTCCAAAAGTACAACCCCTCATTATCATGATTATGCTGCAGGCTGTAGATACATTAGCACATTAGCTGTGGTTGTTTGTAATTAGTACCGTCTAAGATATTTTCACTCTAAGACATGCACACTTGTCTTTTTTATCTTTTTTATTCATTGCTGACTCATGTTAAATTATTAATTGCTGATTCATGTTTTATTTTTTTAACACAGGATGGCAAACAATGACAGACCTGTTAACCCCAGCACAAAACTTCCTAACCATGTTGTCGGCAATCCATTAGCTTCATCCCTAAACGGAAACTCAAATAACCCAAGAAAACGTAAACAAGAGATGGTACACTCTTGTGAGTCTCCTTCTGGCACATCTAATATTCCGGGAAATGAACTGTCTAAATATAATTCTAAATCTGAATCTATTGCTGTTGACAGTGCCATTGATACTCTTTTTAGACCCAACAGTCCAGTCCAGCACTCACATACCTTGACCAATGAAACTTAGGCAGCAATTCATAAAGTCTTATGATACCATTATACAGGACATCATTCAAATCAGTGACTGGTCAAAAGAATATATCACTGACTGTTTGATAGTTTTGAAATCTGCTGGACAGAGAATAAATTTGCAGTCATTATGGCGAATATGTGAAGAAAAATATGCCTTCCCCATGCATAGAAACCAGTCCAGTACCTTTAACTCCATTAGGTCTAATGGTCCAAGCTCAGCAGTAGGGTATGATCAACGTTCATATTTAAATCACGGTGGCAGCTGTGTCGATGCATCATTTCTTGGTGGTCATTCAAAATTTTATAATCAAGCAAGTAAAAAATGCAGGAGATCATCTGGGGAAGTTCAAGACTCATTTGATGGAGCTGTGAACTATAACTGTGATTCTCTACCAATAAAAAAACTCAGATGAAACTCAAAGAGCTTGTGTTTTGACCAGACAAGGCATTTTAACTTGCAATGATCTGCAGTCTGATTCTCAGGCTGAGTTCTCATCCACCGCACCAGATGTTGCACAGTCCAAGGCAGGGCTTGATTCAAAATCACAACATATCAAAAAGTTGCTATCAGCAGTTGAACATGAGCATAAACTATTAGTGGCCTACAAGCAGTGCATTGCCTGTGGTAATCCAAGGAGGATAACCTTTCTCCCTTGTGGTCACTTTGTAGCATGCAAGTCATGTGCTGTGTCACTACTGTCTTGTCCATCATGCCACGGAAGTATTGTTGCTACTGTTGACACTTTTTAAAGTTAATTCACATTTTTAAGGCTCTGTCATTAGTTGTTTGGTAAAAACTTTTAAAATATGATAGTATAATAGCTTTTCTGTTCATATAGTTTATTTTGTTAAATTAAGTGTTTGGTTTTTAAAAATTAATATAGTAACACTAACATCATATTAATAAAATCTAGACTTGATTTAATTAGTTTTTTTTAAATTACAGGCTTTAAAATTGTGACCTAAAAATATTTTAAATGTATATATATATATATATATATGTATATTATATATACATATATATGTATATTATATATACATATATATATATATATAGGTGATCAATCTATTTCTCCACATGTCCCATATTTATACTGCTTCACTTATACTTTCAGGTACACTTTTACTACCAATATTGATAAAATATTCATTTTTTTATCAAATAATTATTTTTGTTTTAACTTTTTATTTATGTCAGCTGTAATATTCTCATAATCTATTACATAAATTGTGTATAAAATTTATTTTTTTACTTGATTGCTCAAGTCTTGGGTGAGCTTTGGCAAATTTCTTTGATGTTGTTGGTATTATAGCCTCAGACCAACAGCATTGTTTCACGGACAATGCTCTTTGGGGGAGGGGGGTAGGGGTTTGACCCTATGTGCATCAACAGCCGACTTAAAATCTATATAAACTGTGTGCTAAAATTA